GGGACACAAGACAATTTTACTTTAGGCCTTGTTGATATGAAATGCTACAGTCATGCTAAAACTTTCCCAGAAAATGAATTTAAATTTCAGCGCATAAGATTTCCTTCCTTGTGTTACAAAATATCCTGTTTTCAATGGAAAAACTCAAATTTTGGAAAGGCAAAATGTAACACATATGATTAAATTGATTTTTTTTTCAGTGTTTAAAGGATACCTCAGAGTTTGACAGTCTTGTAAATAGCTCTTCAAGCTAATCTTGTTTTACAAGAACAGAAATATATAATTATATTAGTTCATAAACTATAGTTTCATTTCCCTACTTTCTTTGTAAGCTCCTTAGAGGCAAATGCCATGCTTCTGTTTCTAACATGGTACCAGGCTTGCATTTCTTAAACTATGTTCCACTGACTAGAGAAACTATCAGATACTATGTGAAAAAGTACTGTGTGATCAAATAAATTAGGGAAATACTAACACTTCTTTCAGAGAACACTGTGAATTCCCTTTAAATTTATCTTATCTCAGCAGCTCTTATGTTCATTTGGTCATGAAACTTTCCATTTCTAGAGCAGCAAATTGTAACAATCCATAGACAAATGAGAAAATACTGGGCGAGCAAATGCCATTGGTACTAGTTGAAGGAAGAGGCTTTTTAGAGAAATTTGTCTTATCCCAATGGGAAGTATAAATTGTGAGGCTTAAAATCACACCTTCTCACCCCTCTGAGGTACTAAAAATTGCCAAGATGCCCCCTCAATGTTTAATGCGTGTAGTTAACCACACTGCTTAAGAAGACAGATGTGCATGAGGAAACGGTACCCAGTGGCACTGGTCAATTGTCCTTTTCAAAACCACGATCTGGTGTGTGCTCCTTCCCTTGTTTCAGCTCTAAGACTTGTGAGAACTTGGCATTTTCATGACTACATTTATATTTAATAACTGTAATAAGAAACTATGTAGATATGAAAAATAAATGAAGTAACATTCCAAGTGATGCACCAACCAAAGCAAATAGAAATCCCCTGATGCTAGGATTACCATTCCACTCATTTATTAAATTACCTACAAACTACAAAATCCTCTGTAAGACCAAATTGTTGAAGTGTGAAGTATTTTCCAGATATTCCAGAAATGCCCCCAGCACCACATCAAAGAGACAGAGACAGAGAAAGAATGCAGAATTTCATAAGCAAACCAAGATACCTGGCAAATTTTGAAGTATAATACGTACTACACATGAATGGTTAGGTTTCCTATTATTTTAAGAAATCATATTAAATACATAGTATCATAGTATTATATAAATGTAACATAGTTCTATGTTTTTTTTTTTTTGCAACAAGGCAGTCATTCTTGGGCTCAACCAATGGGCACCCTTATTTGAGGCTCTAAGGGAGAACATTTAAGTGACAGAATTTCACCCCTCCTTGGCAGTGATGATTCTATCTATGGTACAGAACCTTGCAAATGCCTGAGATGCACCAGGAGTATAAATAAATGTTGTGGAGCATTTAGAAAATCAAACTATAGAAAATAGATAGAAAATCAAACTATATAATGTTGCTCTGTTGATTTAAATCCATATAAAAGCATCTGTGATGAGACTATAACAGCTCCATAAATTTGATTACAGGTCAAAATCTTTGGATAAATATTTCAAAACTGGGATACAATCTCTTAAAAAGTGATATCATATTTGATTTACAGAAAGAGGTAACCAACCCTCTTCTCATCTAGTAATACAACATCAAATGAAAATCTCACATAAATTTATTTATTCCCTATCTGTGCTTAACAGACTTAGCAGGAGACTGAAAGAGACAGCTGAGGTGTTCTCAGCTCTGCAACAAGAACCCTCATGATCATAAAGGGAATAAAGAGATTTACATTCAAAACTAAAAAAAATTGTAAATTTTCTGTGTAAATATGACCTTTTTTCACTTAAAATCTCTTTATCTTAAAAATTATCATTGAAGTGTAATTGACATATAAGATGATTTTAGTTTTAGGTGTATAATATAATGATTCAACATTTGTATACATTATGAAATGATCATCACAATGAGTCTAGTTAACATCTGTCACCACACAATTAATTTTCTTTCCTTGTGATGGGAACTCTTTTTTTTTTTTTTTTTTTTACGATCTATTTATTTATTTTTGAGAGAGAGAGAGAGAGAGTGTGGTGGGGAAGGGCAGAGGGAGAAGGACAGAGAGTCCTAAGCAGACTTTGTGCTGAGTGCGGAGCTTGACACAGGGCTCGATCTCATGACCATGAGATCACCCAGGCACTCCAATTGTGATAGGAAGTCTTAAGATTTCCTTTCTTAGCATCTTTCAAATTTATAATATTACTGACTCAAGTCACCATGTTATACGTTACATTATATCCTCATGACACATTTATTTCATAATTGGAAGTTTGTATCTCTTGATCCCCTTCACCCATTTTGCCCACCAATTTGTTCTTTGTATCTATGAGCTTTGTTTTGTTTTCTGATTTTTTTTTTTTTAGGTTTTCTTTTCTTTTTCTGTCAGACTTATTTCACTGAACAAAATACACTCAAAGTCCATCCATGTTGTTGCAAATAAGATTTCATCCTTCTTTATGGCTGAGTCATATTCCTGTGTGTGTGTGTGTGTGTATGTGTGTACATATATATACACATACACACCACATCTTTATCCATTCATCTATTGATGGACACTTCTGTTACTTCCATATCTTGGCTATTGTAAATAATGCTGCAATGAACAGAGGGGTACAGATAGCTTTTCAAATTAGTGTTTTCATTCTCTTCAGATAAATACCAGAAGTAGAACGGCTGGACTCAACAATGGTTATATTTTTAATTTTTTGAGGAAACTCCATACTCTTTTTCAGTCGCTGTACCAGTTTGCATTCCCACCAACAGTGCAAGCGATTCCTTTTTCTCCACATCCTCACCAACACTTGTTGCTTCTTGTCCTTTTGATACTAGCCATTCCGACAGGTGTGAAGTGATATCCCATTGTAGTTTTAATTGGCATTTCCCTGATAGTTAGTGATGTTGAGTATCTTTTCACGTGCCTTGTGGCCATCTGTACATCTTCTTCAGGAAAATGTCTATTCAGACCCTCTGCCCATTTTTTAATTGGGTTGTTTGTGTTTTTGTTATTAAGTTGTATGAGTGCTTTATATATTTTCAATATTAACCCCTTATTGGATTTATCATTTGCAAATATCTTCTCCCAATCAGTAAGGTGACTTGTCCTATTGTTGACAGTTTCCTTTGCTGGGCAGAAGCTTTCTAGTTTGATGTAGTTCCATCTGTTTATTTTGCTTCTGTTGCCACTGCCTTTGGAGTCAGATCCAAAAAAAAATATCACCAAGACTGATATCAAGGAGCTTACTGCCGCCTGTTTTCTTCTATGAGTTTTATGGTTTCTGGTCTTACAGTCAGGTCCTTAACCTAATTTGAGTTAATTTGGGGGTATGGGGTAAGATACTGTCCAGTTTTGTTTTTTATGCATTTGGATGTCCAGTTTTCCCAAACCCCATTTATTGAAAGAGACTGTCCTTTCCCCATTGTATATTCTGGCCTCTTTTGTCGTAAATTGACTGTATATGTATGGGCTTATTTCTGGGCTTTCTATTCTTTTCAATTGATCCATGTGTCTGTTTTTATGCCAATGCTATACTGTTCTGATTACTATTGCTTTGTAATATAGCTTGAAAACAGGGAGTGTGAGGCCTCCAGCTTTATTCTTCTTTCTCAAAATTACTTTGGCTATTTGGGATCTTTTGTGGTTCCCATACAAATTTTAGGATCATTTGTTCTAATTCTGTGAAAGATGACATTGGAATTTTCATAGGAATTGCACTGAATGTAGAGATTGCTTTGGGTACAAAAGACATTTTTAACAATATTAAATATTCCAAACAATGAGCATGGAATAGCTCTCATTTATTTGTATATTCTTCAATTTCTTTCACCAATGTCTTATAGGTTTTAGTGTATACATCTTGCACTTCCTTGCTTAAACTTATTCCTAGGTATTTTATTCGTTTTGATGCAATTGTAAAAATGAGTTTGCTTCCTTAATTTCTCCTTTGGATAGTCTGTTGTTGGTGCATAAAAATGCAATAGATTTTTGTATATTGATTTTGTACCTGAAACTTAATTTATTAGTTCTAATAGTTTTTGGTGGAGTCTTTAGGGTTTTCTATATACAAAGTGTTATCCTCCGCAAATACTGATAGTTTTACTCCTTCTTTTAGAATTTGGATGGCTTTTATTTTTAAATTTTTTTTTTTAAAGAGGGAGAAAGGGAGAGAGGAAGGGGAAGGGGAGAGGGAGAGAGAGAATCTTAAGCAGGCTCCCTGCTGAGCCAGAGCCTGACCGTAGGCTCGATCTCACAACCCTGAGATCATGAGCTGAGATGAAATCAAGAGATGCTTAACTGACTGAGCCACCCAAGTGCCCTTTAAATGTTACTTTTAGTTTAGAAATCTGAAGAATTTCAGACTCATTTCAAAATGATTTGATACAAGGCTTCTCAGCTAACAATAACATGTTATACATGCATGTGTTTTTTGACCAAGTATGTGAAAGAAGATTTTTGTTCCCAGGAAAGTTCATAAGCCACAACATCTTGTGCAAGTATACCAGGGGGGGGATAGGAAGGAACTATTTCTCTTTTAACAATAACATGAAAAATGTACAAATATCCTTGGCTATCAAGTGAAAACAAGATGATCAAATTTGCTCCTGGTGAAAGGGATTGCTATTCAAATAACCAATATACTACTCAATAGCTAAATGTCTAATATACATAACTTTTTAAACAACAAAAGAATAAGATTATTGGTAAAAAATTTTTTTTTGCCACACTAAAAACATGTAGTTTTACAAAGCCATTAAGATTTACCTTCTTAAGAAAACATTGAAAAGTCTGTGTTTTTCTCATTAAAAAAGCATTTGGTAATACAAACATGATCCTTTAAGATTATAAGTTACCTTTCAAGTCTTTCTTTAGTTTTCTGAGATCTTTTTGAAAATCTTCAAACTTCATCTGTGAGGCCTGAAAAAGGTCCTGGGGTTCTGGCAGTGGAAAAACACACTGTTCTTTTCCAGCATCCTAATTAGCAAGAAACACATAATTTTAAAACAAACCAGCATTAATATAAATAAGGATACAACAAAATGGCAATGGCAAAACAACAAATAACAAAATCGAACTATATGTAAAAACTGTCTTACCTCATCAAAATTTCGAAGATAATAGGAAACAATATATGACAAAAGGCTTCTGCTATTGTCCTAGGCAGAAAGACCAAAGTAAAAATATATTTTTTTAAATATCAAATATGCAGTGTCAAGTAAAATAAATTCCAGTAAATCAATATATAAATGAGAACATTTAGAATAAAATGTGAGATCCTACATTTCAAAGTACTTCGGCCACTGCATCAAAGGAGTTTAATGGCACAGAAGATCCTGTTTCTCCCAATGTTCTGAACTAAGCTCCAAGTAGAAGCACAACTGTTCTAGGGTGGAGTCTCAACTGTGAATACTTTGCTGCTTTTGCCCTCCTCAATCAGAAAATTAGTTCATTAATTGTCATGTTTTATCATTAAAATGTATAACTATTACTTTAGCTGAAATGACTCAATCTTGCCAGCATTTCTATGCCATTTCTGGACCAGCAGGTATCATTCCAGTGGTAAGACTGATTGAAATTTGTTAGTATAGGGATCAGGAAAATAAAGTTAAGTATTATTTTAAGTAAGCAGGGGCTTTAAAAATGCAAATACATATTATTTGCTATGTCAGCAACTGAGATTGAGAAATAAATGTCCTCACACCTATAAATAATGCAATGTGTGTATTTCTATAGGAAAAAAAAATGTAGGATTGTTCCTATTCTAATGGTTTTCAAAGAATAGCTTTTCACCCCCTTTCTGGCACACTTAGGGGCATTGTTAATGATTTCTCTTTTTTTGCATCACTTGAAATTAGTACTAGATCATTTGAATGTGGGAGGACAAATATATATATTTTTAAAAAACCTTACAACACAAACTACATCCCCTGAAATGTTCAATCTAACCATTATTTCCCTCTATTTATAAAAAGCAATATCCCTTTATAATTTAATTTGACATGATATGATAATATACCTTTTAGAGACTTCTCTCATAGTAATTTATAGTAATAATAACATAATAATAATGTGATGCAGTTATACATTGCAATAATAAAAGTAATATATTTATTAGAAAGAGCATTCGCTTGTAAATAATTAAAGCAACTTTCCTTTCTCCTTCTTAACTTATAAATCAATGAAATGGTTAACCATACTTGAATCAATTAACAAAACATTTATTAAATGCCTGCTGATAGGCATGCTGAGTGAAAATTCTGAGTGATCTAAATAACAGCTCTGTCCATGCAGGTCTACAAATAGTACTAAGAAGTAGACACAGTTATATTTGTTTTATACAGAGAGAACCAAATCAGGAAGGCTTCACATAACTCTTGTGAGAATGCAAGTGAAATTATAAAATAAAATTTTGCTTCTTGATTTTATTATGCAATTTTTATCTAGATTGTTCCTTGTAGTTATTTAAATTAATAAAATTTAACTTATTGGGAGATTAAATAAGATATATCAACCAAAAAAAAACAAATAATCCCTTATTCATATATAATTATAATTATTAGAATCTATTTCAGATCCATTTTTATAAGCTAAATATTATGCTGATGCTATTTATACTCCAGTGTTATTTGCAAATGTTACTTGTTTCAATCCAACAATCAGTTGTTAAGAACTATTCAAGTGCTTAGAAGAGAGTTTTTGCTTTTGAACAAATGGGATTTATCAGGTTGACATATTGGAGGTTCCTGTGAAAACTTGTGCCATACAAATATAATAGCATCTGAACAAACATAACCATAAAAATCACAAAAATTGTATGTGCTGCTGATGTTCCAAGACAGGATGATGGCTTTATTTAATTTTGGAAAAGCAGCGTGTGGGATTTCATAGAACTCAGTGAAAGAACGGTAAATGGATGTATGAGTGGATGTATGAATGAATGAGCAAATGAGTTGTTGGCCAACAGAAAAACAATAAAAAGTATCTCTTTCTTAGGTGGGAAATTACAGTTGACACTTGAACAATATGGGTTTGAATTGCATGGGTCCACTTACACTTAGATTTTTTTTCAACAAATATAGTAGAGTACTGGAAATGTATTTTCTCTTCCTAATGATTTTCTTAATAACATTTTCTTTTCTCTAACTTACTTTATTGTAAGAATACCATATATGTTACATATAACATAGGAAATAGGTGTTAATTGGCTAATGTTATCGGTGAGACTTCTCATCAACAGTAGGCTATTAGTAGTTAAGCTTTAGGAGAGTCAAAAGTTATATGTGGATCTTCAACTGAGCAGGTCAGTGCCCTGCATCATTCAAGGGTCAACTATATACATTATCTAGGAAGAATAATTCTAGTATTTCCATTTCTATGGGCCAGTCATTTACTTATATTTATAATTTTAAAAACATGACCATAATTTTCTTTATCATATAGTTCTGTGTGGAGATTCTTTTTTTATTTTATTTTATTATGTTATGTTAATCACCATACATTACATCGTTAGTTTTTGATGTAGTGTTCCATGATTCATTGTTTGCAAATAACACCGCCAGCGCTCCATTCAATACGTGCCCTCTTTAATACCCATCACCAGGCTAACACATCCCCCCACCTCCCTCCCCTCTAGAACCCTCGGTTTGTTTCTGAGTCCATAGTCTCTCATGGTTCGTCTCCCCCTCCGATTTCCTCCCCTTCATTTTTCCCTTCCTACTATCTTCTCTTTTTTTTGTGGAGATTCTTTTATCAGAGAAACAGAATTCTATTATTTTCTAAGTTTACAATCTCACACATTAACTCTAACCATCATAGTTGTTTCCTTAATATTATATTTTTACTGACACTCTCATAATCTCTTAGATGTTAATTTTAAACAAATACAAGTAGAGAAGTAGGATCAAAAATTAATTAGGCCTGCAAAAAGCCTTGGACATCCCCACACATACCAGTATAAAGGGGAGGATGATACGTAGAAAAGCAGGATCATCTTTTACATTTTATTTACAATCTACTTTCACCCATCTTTGTTTTGTTTTTAAAACAGAAGCCTGCTGTCCTCCATTACTTAACACAGAAGAGGAATACCATCTAATTTATGAAAATTAATTAATCCTCAGACTCCAAAAGGATACTTATTAGCAGACATGATAATGACAGAGTGAAAAATAATTATTTTTATTTTAAAAATCCTCTACTTGTTCTGCATGGAGCACTGGGCGTTATACGCAAACAACGAATCATGGAACACTGCACCAAAAACTAATGATGTAATGTATGGTGATTAACATAACATAATAATAATAAAAAAAGAAACATAAAAAAAATCCTCTACTCAATTATGCATTAGACATAGGATTCACAATTACTCACTTTAGGAAACATTATTCACAAAATCATAAACATATGACGGCCATATACTTTTATCTCGTTCAGAACATCAAGACCTTGGAACATAAACATTTATTACAACAGGCTTACAGTCAAACTTATTACTAAATAAAACATCTAATCCTCAATTTGCCTACATTCATTCATACAAAATACTTACACTGCTTTTGACATCTTTCAGCTTTGGAAGAATGTCTAATCCGAAGCCATCGGCCTGTCCTCGAGTCTTATTCCCTCCATTCATGTAGTTGCCAAAAGCAAGAACCAAACCCAGGATCTGCATAACCCCTGGGCCATTTTTTAATGTCTGTGAAACCAAATAAAGAACATTTTCTTTCTTAGACAAAGTTTTTTTTTAATTATCTTAAGTTAGTGGCAGATACTCATATTATACTAAAAATTTTGGGTCACATCCAAACTCTATCGTTGCTTATTATTAGGGTATTTTATTTTATTTTATTATTATTTTGTTATGTTAATCAATTACATTACATCATTAGTTTTTGAGTGATGTTTCCAAAGTTGACTTTAAGAAGCGGTACCATCTACCCAACAGACGCATGAAAAAGTACTCAACATCACTCGGCATCAGGGAAATCCAAATCAAAACCTCAATGAGATACCACCTCACACCAGTCAGAGTGGCTAAAATTAACAAGTCAGGAAACGGCAGATGTTGGTGAGGATCCGGAGAAAGGGGAACCCTCCTACACTGTTGGTGGGAATGCAAGCTGGTGCAGCCACTCTGGAAAACATTATGGAGGTTCCTCAAACAGTTGAAAATAGAGCTACCCTATGACCCAGCAATTGCACTACTGGGTATTTACCCCAAAGATACAAATGTAAGGATCCGAAGGGGTATGTGCACCCCAATATTTATAGCAGCAATGTCCACAATGGCCAAACTATGGAAAGAGCCAAGATGTCCATCGATAGACGAACAGATAAAGAAGATGTGGTATATATATACAATGGAATATTATGCAGCCATCAAAAGGAATGAGATCTTGCCATTTGCAAAGACGTGGATAGAACTGGAGGGTGTTATGCTGAGCGAAATAAGTCAATCAGAGAAAGACATGTATCATATGATCTCACTGATACGAGGAATTCTTAATCTCAGGAAACAAACTGAAGGGTTGCTGGAGTGGTGGGGGGTGGGAGGGATGGGGTGGCTGGGTGATAGACATTGGGGAGGGTATGTGCTATGGTGAGTGCTGTGAACTGTGTAAAACTGTTGAATCACAGACCTGTACCTCTGAAACAAATAATACAATATATGTTAAAAAAAGAAGAAGAAGAAGAAGATAGGAGGAAGGGAAAAATAAAGGGGAGGAAATCAGAGGGGGAGATGAACCATGAGAGACTATGGACTCTGAGAAACAAACTGAGGGTTCTAGAGGGGAGGGGATGGGGAGATGTGTTAGCCTGGTGATGGGTATTAAAGAGGGCACATATTGAATGGTGCACTGGGTGTTATATGCAAACAATGAATCATGGAACACTACATCAAAAACTAATGATGTAATGTACGGTGATTAACATAACATAGTAAAAAAAAAAAAAAGAAGCTGTACCCTCTACAAGCATTCAGGTACACATTTGTAAACTGAGAGACACCACTCTAGGTGATTTCTATGATATAATTGCGCTGAAAACAAATAAGGCTGTAATAGGAGAACTACTACAAAATAATGTCGTTGCCATCACCCTAATTGTACCTACCTCTGGAGCAATAGAAATTTTTGGCAAAACACAGTTATAAAGATTAATTTCCAAATTTAGATTTATCCCTGTAAAGTTCACACTCACTTCTTCCAAAACACAAAACTTAGCTGGAATTTGCATGTCTTCTTTCCTCTGAAAATGTGTCTTTAATAACATCTTACTAGTTTTCAAAATGATTTACCAGAACCAGAACGAATGGTACTATTGATTTTTGACAAATTGTTTTAAACGGTAATATTGGTAATTTCTGCCAAGCATTTATTCTTTGTTTTCAGAAGAATATTTATCTGCTATTGAGTCATACAGCTGTTCCTAGATTATTTGGATAGAATCATTAACAATTTGTTGGAAGCCCCTTCCAAAACTGAAGAAGAATAAATAAAATGCCTTCACATCACATCCAATCCGAAGTCTGATGTAGGAGAGGACTATGGAAAGTGAAGAGTTTGTGAAGGGACAGAAATCCGTGGAGGTAGGAGCTAACAAGTGCACTCTACCAACAGGGCCCCACGGCAGTGGGCGCCTCTGAGTTTTCGCTTTGATCTTGAAACCAATCGTGGTGTGTTCTCTTCTGTGGAACTGCTATCCTGCAAATTTATGCATACTTACAGTATATTAAAGAAAATGTTTTTGAAATATGAACATGACTGGACCCAATTAAACATCAGAACTCAATCATCAGCATTCTATGGTTCAGAACCCACCTCACACAATTTCTGTAGCAATTCCAGTTTGCGACGAATTGAGCAAATGCTTTCTGAAAACGTGGACTGGAACAGAATACAAAAGACTCGCTCTGAGAAGTTGGGGATTAGTGACAGTTCATAAAGGAACCTAAGGAAATAAAGCCAAGTTAAGAGGAAAATATAATTCATATAAACAGATGTTTATCCTCCTATCATTCAGAACAATTATGCCCGGAAAACACTACATTTTCCAAATGGAAAGAGGCTGCCCGTAGCCTGGCTGCCTTCTATGAGGTCCTGAGGTGTGCTTACTGTTCAGGTTTGTCCAGAGACTTGGCATTTTCCTTGTCTTTGGAGGACCGGCCGTGCTTTTCAATTTTTTCCAGTTCATCTGACTGTGCTCTCTGGAAAAAATAATACCAAGTGGTTATTCAAAACCTGGTGAAATGAATCCCTTAGATTATAATAATCTTAATACAGCAAAACTCTATATATTTTCATATTTCTTAGCATCTGTTTGCCGTAAAGCTTGACTTAATTCACGAAGGCATTTTAAAGTGTAAATATGTTTAATGCAAACCAGATCACCTCTAAACCTTCCAAATAATGTTATTGGCTATTAGTGATCTGCAAAACATTTATTTATTCAAGCATACTTTAAAACAATACAGTTTTCCTCTCTTGCTTTTTGGCGGCTTGTAATACTCTCTAGAATACAAGAATTTCATTTTAAAGTGGCATGTGTTATTCAGAAATCAATCAAGTTAAATTTGGAAGTAATTTGATCCTAATGTTGTAAGATTTTTAAAGGAAAAAAAAGTACTCATTTAACTAATACAATCATTGTTTATGGCTTTTTTTTTTTTAGGGGAAAAATACAATTGAATTATTAAGTCCTGGGACAAAATAAAAGGTTTTGATTTTTCTTTTTGACATAAAAATGGCTTCAGGCTTCTTTTCTTCAAATTATCTTCTTTTACCTTTCATCCTAAATTTGTTTCTTTGTAGGAGAGTTTCTTCTGCATTTTCAATATATAGTAGAAGATTTTATAGACATTGAGAAACACAAATCTATTCTTTATGAAAAATTTGGATGCTTTTTATTTGTAGTCTTGTCTTTATTTTATGATTTGTGAAGATGTTTCAAAATAGCCAAATACAATATTTCTATGCATTAAAAAGTGTGAGTAGACTACCATACCTTGAATTTGAGTCTAATCCTCAGAACTTAAATTCCCTTCACATTATTTTTTGCTTAAATATTAAAGCAGTTTAGCCAAGAACTACTGTATAAGATAAAATGTGATAGCCTTATAGAAACTAAAGATTTCATCTGAAAAATAGCTATGTTCTGTTTTTTATTCACTGATTGTTCAGGTGATAGGATTAACTAGCAAAGACTAGTTCCTTCAAATAAAGCTTCTTTTTTTAAAAAAATATTTTATTTATTTATTTATTTGAGAGAGAGAGCACGGGATGGGGAGGGAGGGTAGGGGTGGAGGGAGAGGGAGAAGACTCCCCTCTGGGCAGGGAGCTAATACAGGCTTTATACCAGGACCCCAGGATCATGACCTGAGCCAAAGGCAGACACTTAACCGACTGAGGCCCCCAGGCGCCCCTAAGGCTGCTCATTTTAAATTTTTATTTATTTATTTATTCATTTAAGTATGCTCTGTGCCCAACATGGGGCTCAAACTCATGACCCCGAGATCAACAGTCACATGCTCTACCAACTGAGCCAGCCAAGTGCCCCCATATACACTCTTAAATAAAGGTGGCTTTTTTCCCCCTGCAACTGAAGAATTAGAATGACCAGTAAGTGTGGGTGGAGGTGCCAGCATGTTTATCTTTCACTGCTTTTGAACCATCAATACAAACATTTACACTGTCAAAAAAGTAAATAACAGCTTAATGCTATTATGAAAATCATTTTTACCTTGCAGATCCCCTTGCAAAAAAGTACAGAACCCCTGGGCACCCATGGAGCAGACTTGAGAACTGACATTTGGTAAAACCTTCTTATCCAACTGATGATTAAATTATCTTCAGCATTCACCATACTCAAATATCTCCAGTGACAAAAAACTCATTGTCATTCTAAATTGATCATTACATCTTTAAAAAACACCGTCCAAAAACAAAACAAAACAGCTTCTTTATATTAAACAAAAATACTTCCTGTACTTTCAGACATTGGCCCTCGGTCTACTCTCTGCGGTCAATTGCAAATTCCTTTCAAATATTTGGGAAAGTTAATTTTTCTTCTTTTGTCTTCTGTGTTAAATACTTTGGTTCTTTACATTTTATATGGTATGAATGGGAGTCTATCACAAGCATAGTTGCTCTCTGAGTAGGTTTCTGATGGCTTAACAAATGAGGCACACATAACAGTGTCCTCTCCCTCTCCCATCGTACAGTCTGCTGCTCGACTCCATCATTCCAGAAAGACTGTTGCTGTTAGTGTAGCCTGAAATTAAGGACAATATTTGGAGGAACCCTACATCCTCTTAAGTTATCAGTAGTCTAAAACCTTTGAATTATTTTTCATGTTTATAGGCTCTATTCTGTTTCTCCTAGTCTGTATTTATGAAATTGATTATTTTGGACTCAAGCATAACAACACATTTGTTATTTTTTTCTATATACAATCAACTATTCGAAGATTTTATGGCTTGAGATCATAATTCTGTCATGCTATGGAGCAAAAAATACTTTGGGTTAGGGTAGCATGACAGAGCTTCAGAAAAAAGAGGAGATAAGACCTGTGTTTTGAAGAATATGCCGGCTCTAGATAGATGGAGAGCTAATCTCAATGATTCGTCTCTAAATTTGCTCTCCTTTTTATATTCCCTGTCACTGCTGAAGACATGGGCATCTACCTGATAACTCACATGGTCACACCAGATCTTCTACCTGGAATATGCATCATTCACTTTGGCTTGCTGCTCTTGGCTTGGCTTATGAATGAACTCCTCTGGAAAGCCTGCCTCAACTGCCTTGCTCTCCATTATAATTATTCTCGTTCCAAAATGGTAACACGGAACCTTATATTTGCTTTGTTTTGTGCTATGCTTATCACAGCATCTTATTGGCCATATAAATATATGCCTGAACCTTCTATTGATTGGAGCTTCTTGAGAAGGGCCATGTCTCAGGTATCTCTATGGTCCTAGTAACCAGTATGGCTTATGGCATACAGTTAGTAGTCAATAATATTTTTTTAAACACTGAAAAATTGTATTAGTAATTGAATATGACAAAAGAAGGCCCCTGAGTCATGAAGAAGAGACAGGGAAAAGAGGAGGGATAATGACCCAACAATATAAGAAGTATTGAGGACATAATGATATGCAGATAATTTCAACTGTTCATCATCATCCTAAGAGTATAATGAAGGTACCTATGAGGTCATTTGAACTCCAAAATAGATACTATGCATGCGTGAGACAGAATTAGTCATTTCAAATGCTAGCACAAAATAGGTAAATAAAAATAATAAGAAAGCTATGCCTGGCAAAAGTATATATGGATTCACTCATCTATACATTCATTCAACACTACTCTCTTGTGCCCCTATCACTCACCTCATGCAGAGATGCTATGTGTGTAAAGGTACAAGAAGCAGGACTAAAACATAATAGGTTTTTAAGCAATGATAATCAACTCGGCAAGATACGGCTATTCATTAATATACCATGACCAATTGTTTCTTGCCCATCAGCTTGGCTTGCTCCTTGCAAAGAAAGCATGAGAGATCAAGCAAAAGTCAGTTATCTTCTATCTGCTAAGGACCCACATTATTGTTCTTAATAGCAACCACACAATTTATGTCAAACTAGTGGTTATAAATTTGTACTAGAACCCGGTGGTCATCTGGATACTTTTGGTTTTGTTCGGCTTCAAAGTAAATTTAGTGTCAAGTGTTCTTCTCTGCTCTACTAATATGAGGTAATAATCAAGGTCAGACTTTAAAACAAATGAATTTTAGGGATTCATTAATCCACTCATTTAAAGGCCGTATTTACCAGCATTACACCAGGCACTGGGGATAAAAATATATATAAGTTAGGCTTCAGACTCAAGCAAAATCCTAAAACATAATGTACCAAATAGCTCATAACACCACTCTTATTTGCTTAACCCTTCTGTAGCAATCTTCTTCGACTGCTTTTTATTTTTTATTTATTTTTTTATTAACATAATGTATTATTTGTTTCAGGGTGCTTTTTAAATCTATATATGACTCCCCATATTTGAAGAGGATGTTAATGATCTCACTACCATACCAATGGCGATTTGTTGAAATAAATTCATTCTTCTTTTACAGCCAAAGACATGGGCAACACAGGCACACACACATCAATTAATAACATGAAGGAATTTCCAAGCTCCAAATATTCAAATCACAAACTTTCCCTCTCCCAGGCTCACTCACTTCAAAAATTAAATCATTCAGTCTCTTTCTTTACTGTATACCCCTTCCTGCACCCACCCCAATTACCTGCAGATTTGTACCAGAATATCCTTTTCTCAAGATTTACTGTATTTGCCTATAAATGAAATGGACCTCCTCTAGTTACCTCCAGTTGCTGCCAAGCTGGATGTTTTCACCAGTTACCAAAGGTTCATCGCATTTAAAACCCAGGAAAACTCCTCACATAACCACTGGTCAAAATGAACCCCAAATCCAGGCTATCATCACTGATTTCACCATATATTTTGACCCCCACTACCCTTCACCCAGAAACCCCCTTAAACTGAATCTTGCTATTCCAACTCCTAGGAAGAAGTGTTACTTCTACAGAGAGGAAGAGATTGGGGAGCACAGGGTGGAGAGGGAGGGAAGAACATTGAGATCAACTGGCATGCATTTCCACTGTATACATTTCCACTGCCTGAGTCTATTAATGGTGTTAAGCAAATGTTTCTCAAACAGAGTTCGAAAGAACACAAACTTAGATTCCTGAGATTCATTAGGAATTGCTGTATACTATATCCATTTTTAAGACTCATATGCTAACTACTCTTAGAAGTTTTATTATTGAAAAAAACTATTTCAACACCAATCCTCACACTTAATTGATAACAAAAAGTGTGTGTGTGCAAGAGACAGACAGACAGAGAAAATGATAGTAACACTCCCAAAGAACCAGTGTTCCAAGTGGAAACACTGTCTATGGCTAAAGTTCAGCAGTTCCTTTATCCAGTTTCTTTCATTTTTTTTCTGATTAAAACTCTTCAGAGTGTAGGAATAGAGGGAACATACCTCAATATCATAAAAACCATCTATGAAAAACCCACAGCAAATATCATTCTCAATGGGAAAAAACTGAGAACTTTCCCCCTAAGATCAGGAAGACGGCAGGGATGTCCACTATCACCACTTTTGTTCAACGCAGTACTA